TGAGTCATCGCTACAGCAGCTGTGGAGCCATGACAGGGTCCCTGCCTTCTGGCAGCTTATGCTCCAGCAGGAAAGCCTCCAACAAGCAATGATCACTTGGGCATTACTGTAGGGCAGAGAAAAGCAGAGGGCGTGCAGAATATTCAGCAGGAAGACCCAACCCAGACCTGGGATCCACGACGGCCATCCTGAGGAAGGGCATTCCAAGCGGCCCCGACATGAGGCAGAAGAGCCGGCAGGCACAGCCAGAGGGAGAGGGGAGAGCAGGCGGATGGGGGGGGGGGGGCTGCGTAAGCAAGAGGAATAAGGGATGAATCTTTTTTAAGTCCATAAGGTGTCTTTTTTATTATTAAATCAGTGTTTCTAAGGTGCTTAAAATATCTGTTCTATTAGGTAGTTTAACCTGCACTTTATTTACTGTATTATAAATGTGTTCTTCAACGTGGAAAACGGGGAAAAAAACAAAAACAAAACCCCTCAGTCTGGCCAGAACCTCTGTCGTAAGGGAAGAAGAGTCTAGAGAGACGAAGAGGCGCAGCGACCAGTTTGCACAGCCGCACACACGTGCACACTTCATCCTAAGGGAAAGCAGATGCTGCTCAGGCTCTTAAGCAAGCGCATTTTAGAAGCACTGCCCTGCCTGTGCTGTGGAGGAGGGAGAGAGGCAGGCCCGACTGGGGAAAACCAGCTACCCCCCCGCAAAGCCCAGCACCCTCCCTCATGTGGATATGGAAGAACCCCAACACTGCAGGGAGGCAGAGCCCTGTTTCCTGCTGCAAAAGACAAAGGAGGGTACAGAGAGGCTCTTCTGCTCCCCCACCCTCCCCGATATACCAGAGATCTAGCAGCTGTAGGCACAGCAACCAGCAAGACGAAGTCCCTAAGACATGCACCTTGAAAGAAGGAGCAAAGGCTCAGGGTCCGTCAGGAAAGAAGAAAGCCTGCGGGTGCGCAAACACATGTCAAAACGCACCAAGCCGTACACTTTAAATATGTGCAGCTTATTCTACGAGCCCCACGGCAGACACCCCTCTCGTCCCACTGGCACGCTATCAAGTTTTGCTCGGACTCCACTGTGGGGCACGCCTGCCAGCGACGAAGGCAGGAACGAACGGCTGCTGGGCGGCAGCCAGCAAGTGTGAGCTGCTCAGTCACCTGCCTGAGGTCACAGACGGCAACGGCAAAGCCGGGATTTGAATCCACCTGCCTCCGAAACCGGTTCCTCTCACTAGGGGAGCCCCCACCCCAACACTGCACTTGCTGCCGGCACGCGCGGAACACCAACTCGCGTGGCAGAGTCAGCCTGCGGAGCACGCGCTTAGCCCAGAGCGCTCCTTTCTGAAGGTCCTCCCAGTCCCAGGGGCCCAACAGAAAGGCTGGACTGAAGGAGCAACCCAGAAGGCTGGACCCTGGGTCTTTCCGCACCCGACTGCAGCGCTACAAAACCCCTTCAAGTCAATGAACATAGAAAAGGAAAATGTCTGCCACCTACAAAAACTTATGCCTCATGTATCCAGAATTCAGGATAAGACTCCAACATAAATTTTAAAATTCACAAGTAAAACTGAAACAATTTATTCATAAACAACTTCTCAGGCTCTGATTTATCATCTATAAATTCTTCTTCTACATAGTTCTAACAATTAGCTCCTAAGTCCACAGTGAAGAAAAGTATGGAAAAAGCATTTGAGGCAGGCACGCACATACTGACAAGGGTCAGAACCTCTAACAGCTGACCTGGGGAAAGCAAAGGGACAAAAACACTGAAAGAGGCCGAAAGAAATAAAAACTCCAAACAAATAACAGGGAAAACAGTTGTATGTGCCTCAACGAGCCCTAACACTGTTTGCATCACAAATTTTATGTTTAAAATGTTTACTTGAGATCATATCACAGGATTAGGGAAAGTTCATATCACATTTAGCACATTCTATTAAGAAAGTAGGGAATGGCTCCAGTGGTTAGGACTCCGCGCTTCCACTGCATGGGGCCTGGGGTAAGATCCCACAAGCTATTGTGGTGTGGCCAAAAAATAAAAAAAATTTTTTTTTTTTAATTTAAAAGTAATTTTTTTTTTTTAATTAAAAAAATGTTTTTAGGGCTTCCCTGTTGGCGCAGTGGTTGAGAGTCCGCCTGCCGATGCAGGGGACACGGGTTCATGCCCCAGTCCGGGAGGATCCCACATGCCGTGGAGCGGCTGGGCCCGTGAGCCATGGCTGCTGAGCCTGCGCGTCCGGAGCCTGTGCTCCGCAATGGGAGAGGCCACGACAGTGAGAGGCCCGTGTACCGCAAAAAAAAAAAAGTTTTTAAAATTAAAAAAAAAAATTTAAAAAGAAAGCACGGAAATATTCTATTTTGGAAAGATTTCCACCCTAAATGTGAAATTTTGATGCTTAATGGGCAAAAATCCAAAACTCAACTATCCAGCAAACTCTGCTGTTCAAAGTGTTACTGTCCCCTTGTCCTGGTTGCAGACCGTTTTATTATAAATGACTTACAGTAACTTACACGAATCTGTACTGAGTTAATTCTTCGGGCTCAAGGACTGATGGGGAAAGCATCCATGTCTGCTGTGTACTTTCTACAGCCTAGCATGCACACGGGCGTGCAGCTGGACAGGTATGTGGAAGTATAAACTCGGTGCATGCTATAGTAAGCACTCGACAATAAGAGCTGAGTTAAACGGACTCCTCCTTCTCTGAACCACACTTGTTTATAAGGAAACGGGTGCTTAGGACCTGGCTTTTTTAGCTAGCAATGGCCCTGATTTACTGGCTGACTGAAGACAAATCACTGACTCTCTTTGTACATCACTGATTACCTTATTTGTAAAAATAAGATAATGATTTACCTCTCAATTTGGCAGGTTTTAAACTACTACTATAAAATCCTTTAGAAATATCTTATTATATTTATATAAATAATTTAAACCTTAAATAACATGTTTTAACTCTGAAGACTTTTCCAACAGAACACCTTATAAACAAACAGAAATTTCCTTCTAAAAGCAAATGAAAATGTAAAAGTTATTCACACTTATTATAAAGCTCTATAAAAGTAACTGATAGCATAAGGGTTGCCTCAGTTTCAAACTAATAAAATAAGGATGCAATTAATTCCTCTGAATGAATTTCCAGTGTATGATTCTAGTTTCCATAGAGATAAGAGCTGCTTTTATGATCTCAATTAAGTGAACTTCCCTTCTTACTTTCAACCTTTTCTTGAAGGACATGGCAACCCAGCAGACAAGCAAATCAAATACATGCACTGCTGTAAAGATTCTGCCCACTGTGCTAAGTTGCCAATCTCTGACACCTCTCTTCCTGACCCAAGAGCAAACCAAAGCCAGGTTACAGCAGGAGTTTGACCAGCTCCATTCATTCATATTTTCTCTCTAAGCCTCAATAAGAGGCACACACAAGGAGGAGTAGGAGGTGGGGAGGGGAAAGTCTGAAGGACAAGAACACAAAAACCAAGACAGCAGGATATGACTAACGGCCAGTTTAGTAGGGATCCAAGTACTGTAGGGCCTGAAACTTATATAATTTGAAGTCCCTCTTCTAAAAAAGAATACACTATTATGGGACTTCCCTGGTGGCGCAGTGGTTAAGAATTTGCCTGCCAATGCAGGGGACACGGGTTTGATCCCTGGTCCCGGAAGATCCCACATGCTGCAGAGCAACAAAGCCCATGAGCCACAACTATTGAGCCTGCTCTGTAGAGCCCGCGAGCCACCAGTACTGAAGCCCGCGCGCCTAGAGCCCATGCTCTGCAACAAGAGAAACCACTGCAGTGAGAAGCCCGCGCACCTCAACGAAGAGTAGCCCCCGCTCACTGCAACTAGAGAAAGCCCGCGTGCAGCAACGAAGACCCAACGCGGCCAAAAATAAATAATTTTTTAAAAATAAATAAATAAAAATAAAAGACACACAATTATAAACACAAGACCACTGAGGTCCTTCCCAGTGCCTTGAAAGGGGCCCGTGAAAGCGAGGCCCCTGAAGCCTGAACTTCATTAGCTTTACAGTAAACCTGCCCCATAAATGACACTGATTCAGGCTCAGGGAGTAGGGAGAACCTCAGAATAGTAAAAACTGTAAGTGACCTCAACCAACACCTACTGCGGTCTTCTCAGTTCACAGACGAGAAAACAGAGGGCCAGAAGTGATTAGAGATTTCCATGTCTGGAAAATAGACATGTCTGTTCGAAGTTACACGAAGACAACTGGGAGGTAAGGTGGTCAGGAAACGGTATGCATGGAGATGAGCAGTGTGCGACCTGACACAGCCAAGGTGTTCTCACTGCTTTCCTTGAACACAGCCTATAAGGAACGCACCACTGCAGTCCTGTGACCGAGGAATGGCAAGGCTGGGGGAGAGCCCCTACGGCAGAGCTTAGAGATGGCAGAGATGGGGTGATGGGGAAATCGACACACAGAGAATGTGTGAAGGCTGTGGTGGTGCAGGAGTGGTAGCTCCTCACAGAAAGGTCCAAACGTGGGCAGGCCAAAGAGCACATGAAGATGGGAGGCCACGATTCAGAAATGACAGAGATGGAGGACAAAACAGGAGGAGGACGCCAGACATGGAGGAACCAGAGCGTAATACATTTGGGAGGCGACAGGTGAGGAACCTGATGCTGCAGACCTGTCCCCATTCTGTGGTTCTCATTCTCTGCATTACCTACTCAAGCGCTCAAGCCAAAAATGTGGAAGTCACTGGAAATACCACGACCTCAGTTTTTCCCCATCAAACTCACCTCCAAGTTCTCCCCACTATCATTTCCAGATTTTCAGTCCTAAAACTTCTTCCCTAAACGGCTGCAAAAGCCCTCTTATCACATGCAGTCACCCAGCACCACCATCCCTACGCCTGCCAGATGACTCTTTTAACACTCCGATCCGATCACATCACTTCCCTGTTCCCAATTCCCCCGAGTTTCCTGCCATCCCCAGCTCTAGCGCCCTGTCTCTCCCAGAATATGTCAGGCAGTCTCAAACCTGCAGGTCTTGAACATTCTGTTCCCTCTGAAGGAATGAATGGTCTCTTGCCCCTCGGCACCTCCCAACTCCCACTTATTCGAAACTCAGCTGGAATCCTCCCCTTCTGTATAGAAACTTCTGGCCCCTCCTTGGCCGACATGGACAAATCATCCTCTCAGCCACCTAGGCGTCATCCCGCCGGCCTTTATTCCCCAGAGGGCATGGTGCTTGCTGGGTGCTGGGGCTCCGGCTCAGGACAGCCGGGTCAATGCGGAAGGCGCCCAAGTTCGGAGACGCCAAGTGCAAAGGTCAGAGGACACCTCCCTGGGGTACGGCCGACAGGGACCACACGGCGACCCGGAACTGCACACCTCTTTCCGGGGAGGGGTCGGGCCAAGGCGGCACCAGGAGGAGCACGCAGGGCGCACGGCTGTGGGGACATGCGGTGAGGGAGACGCGGCCCAGGGACCGCGACGGCGCAGAACCACGAGCGCAGCCGCCGCGCCGAGGCGACGACCGAGAGCGGCCCAGACGCGCTGGCCCCACAGGCCCAGCCCTACCTAGAGATGCGCCTGCACAGCCGGAGACGCGCCCGCGCAGCCGTCGGCCCGCCGCAGCCGCCGGCCCGCCGCAGGCGCCGCGCACTTCCGCTTCCGCTCGGGCGTTTCCGCTCGAGAAACCGCCCCGCCCACTCGGTGGGCGGGGTCTGCGCGGCCGGGCCCCAGAGGCGCCGGGAAGCGAGATGCGCCGGCGCAGCGCCCGTTGCCTCGGAAACCGCGCGGTGCGTGGAGGTCGGGGTCACGCCTCGCTCGGCTCCCGCTGGCTCACCCGCTGGCTCTATGGGCCACTGGTGGTGCGGACACGCGAGCCCGGGCCCTGACGCCGCAGTTTGGCGGAAGAGCGCAGGGAGGGCGGTGTGGGCTGCTAGGAGACGGCAGGCTGGCCCTGAGCCCGGGCCCCGCAGGAGGCAGGCGGCCGGGGGTCCAGAGCGAGTGGATTTTCCAGCCAAGGGACCTTGGCGCGCTGTCCACCTCGACCATGGGCCTCGGTGTCTGCCCTGTCTGGAGGAGGGCGGCGCTTCCCAGCCTGGGCTGACCAAGGACACAGCAGAGCACAGCAAGCACTAGGTAGAGAGGAGCCTTGCTAGCATTGCTGTGACGGCGGCGGCCACCCTAACTATTCTGGAGCCCACAGTTTTAGTGGGCAGGCTTGCGGTCTGGAACGGGGCATGAGAGCTCCGGGGCGGGCAGCCACGGCAGTGGAGGAGGGGAGGAAGCGAGGACGCGCTTGCCTGGTCGTGCGGTGTCTGCGTCTCACGTTAAGGAGTTTGGACTCTGGTAGCCACCGCTTCGACTTTGTTTCTGCAGCTGCTTTAAGGCCAGTAAGGTTCCCATTAAGGACATGCTCCCCTGGGCTGGGAGATAGGCAGGCTTCAGATTATACACAATTCCCATTCCTCTGGTCACAACACCACCCTTTTCTCTACAACCAAGAGAACATTTTGGTAGCCAAGTGTTATGACAGAAGAATAACTTTGAAACCAATCTAACTTATTTTTTAAGTAAATACTTGACAAACTTCAGTTAATAATATCAAGTTATTTAAGATGCATCTCAAAACCTATCTTTACATATGACCTATCTCAGGAGGGCTGCTGCAAGCCCCAGGGAGCTGGAGGCTTCCATCAGGGAAATAAGATGGTCAAATATTGTTCCTGCAGGGTCTCTTGAAGATCAAGCACTCAAAAAGTATTACCAAATTGATGGGAATTCCCTGGTGGTCCAGTGGTTAGGACTCACCTTCCACTTTAGGGGGCATGGGTTCGATCCCTGGTCAGGGAACTAAGAATCTACCCGCCCCCACCAAAAAAAAAAAAGCATTACCAAATTGAAGTGACACCATATGTATGTATTAAATAATTTGGGAAGCAATCTCTTCATTCGGCCTACAAGGCTTTCATTTCCTGTTGATATTTTTTTCTAAAATCAATAAAGAGTGCTCAGCACCTAATACTTGTTGGGTGCCATAGGGTCGCACCAACAGTATGTGAAATGGTCTCAAGCCTTGAGTGCACGGGTGGTTGGGGAGACAAACACACACTTCAGGTATCAGGGAACAAGTGACACATAAAGTCTTAGAACACATGCATGAAGAAGGCAGCAAGGAGGCAATGTGCAAGCTGAGCCTGGAAGGGCGGGTTGGGCCTGAGGCAGGATTAGAAGAAGAAGGACTTGTAGGCAGAAGGGGCAAACGGAGGAAAGCGATGGAGGTAGGGATTCAGGCAGTGTGAGGGAGAAGCCACGCATCCCGGACTGTAGGAGCAGGAGCCTCACACTGACAGACAGTGCAGACCCCCGGAGCCAGACCGTGGAGACAGAGGAGGCAGGCCGACCACAGCCCCATTCACCACCCTGTGTGAGCCCTGCCACTCGGCGGCACTCGGCTCTGCCCCTCCTGAATATGCACAGATGACCAAGGCGAACAGACGTTTGAGGAAGACAGCAAAAAAGGGAACAAACAGAAACTAGGAAGAGGGAAAATATTATAAAAAACTTCATGGTCTGCAGTCTCTGAAGATCATATACCAGGGAAAGGAAAAAAAGTATATAAAAGAACATTCAGAAAATGTGCTCTTGAAAATTTAAGAAGCAGTAATTTAAACTTAAAAACTGATAGAAGATAAATTTGATATCTCTCAGATAACAGAACAAAGAGAAAAAGATGAAGAGAAAGACATAAGAAAATTAGAAAATTAAGAAGTTTGACATCTGAAAAATAGGAGTTACATGAAAGAGGACAGAAAAATGAAGTAGAGCATTATTCAAGCAATAATTCAAGAACAGTTCCCGGATCTAAAAGACATGCTCTCCTGTGGAAAGGACCCACCAAACGCCCAGCACAACAAGCCTATGAAGACCCACGTGAAAGCACATCATCACAAAATGTCAGGACACCAGGGGCAGCGGAAGGACCTTAAAGATCTTCCATAAGGAAAAACAGAAAGGTCGCATTTAGGGAGTGGAAACTAGCATGGCATGGAAAGTCTCAATAGAGTTACAGGAAACTGAAATTCGGTGGAGCACTAAATTTCAAAATTCTGAAGAAAATAACTCTAACGCGGAATTCTACTCAAAATCAAAATATTAGTTATAATTGTGAGGGTGGAAGATTTTCAGATATGCAGCTCAAAAATATTTTCTACCAAATACCTTATCTCAGATACCTGCTGGAGGATATTCTCCAAAACTAAGAGGCCAAGAAAAAGGAATATTTAGGACCCAGACGCTAGGGAATCCAAGTGAAGAGAGAGGTGGGAAATCCCAGGAGAAAGCTAGAGACACATCTCCAGGAAAAAGCCAGTCCATGGAATGCCTGAGATGTTTGAGTGTTATTTCGTTTGTTTGTTTGTTTGAATTTATTTTATTTATTTATTTATTTTTGGCTGCATTGGGTCTTCGTTGCTGCGCGCGGGCTTCCTCTAGTTGTGGCGAGCGGGGGCTACTCTTCGTTGCAGTGCGCGGGCTTCTCATTGTGGTGGCTTCTCTTGTTGCGGAGCATGGGCTCTAGGCGCATGGGCTTCAGTAGTTGTGGCTCACAGGCTCAGTAGTTGTGGCTCGCGGGCTCTAGAGCGCAGGCTCAGTAGTTGTGGTGCACGGGCTTAGTTGCTCCACGGCATGTGGGATCTTCCCGGACCAGGGCTCGAACCCATGTCTCCTGCATTGGCAGGTGGATTCTTAACCACTGCGCCACCAGGGAAGCCCTGCTGGAGTGTTTTAAAAGGAGATATTCAGAGTTTGGTGACAGTATGTAATAGGTACATAGAAAAGTCAATAAGCAAATAAATTTGGCAATTGTTGAATCCAGTAAAGACAAAATTGTACAAAAAAGAAAACGTAATCGTGGCATATGCCTCAGCTGTGAATAATGATTCCATAATTTTAATGAGGTAAATGCTGAATGGTAATTTAATCAAAAGGATGCTATTATTATTTTGGAAAAAATGGGAGGTGATCTTCTATGCGTTCATAAATATGCGTGTGTCTAGGAAATCAGGTGGAAGTGTTAAACCTTCATCTTCTAGAGTTAGGAAGTCCATAGACAATGTACACAACTGAAAAAGACATAGCATTAGGAAGTTTTTTAAAAATACGAGTAAATTTCAAAAGAAGTAGCTACGAGTTAGAAAGGAAAGAATTGGGAGTGGGAATGCATGGTGTAGGAAATTGCTATTTTTTTGTAAATCTAGAAGTACTATTTGAATTTTAAAATCTGTAAGTATATTACTTTGATAAAAGGAAACTATTATAAGTTTTAAGAAGTGATTAAGTAACTAGTACAATGGTAGTAAGCAGCACAATTATTACTCAAACTCGAATCTTTCTAAATTCTAATGGCTTCTTAACATTTTTTATGACTACATACACTACAGTGAAGGAAAGGAAGAGCCAGCGATTACTCCCAGGTCTCTTTCCTAGGATCTAAAAGGAAAGTTGTACATAGAAATCAGTGTAAAAGGAGCACAAAGACTTACATGAGACTCTTCACATCCTTTTCCCCACCTTCTGCTTCATGCCACCTATAGACACTTTCCTGTGCTCTACTGTACACATCAGATTTATCGGTTTGTGGGAGAATCTAGAAACAGGGGATGAAGGATTTACATAAGAGAGAAAAACAGGGACAGAAAGAAAGGAAGAGAAAAAGAAAACTGTAGGTTGAAAGTAGGGAGAAGTTGGGAATTAAGAGACAGTAAAATGTTTCCCAAAAACTGGGAAAGAAGAAAAGCTACAACCGTTAAAACATACTGACTTCTACATGGCTGATCCACAGTAAATATTACAGAATTGTTTTGTCACTGAACAAAGAGCGTCATACAGAAAGAAATTGTCCTCTTCCTCTACTGGCCGTCCTTGTGTCTGTTTGTGACTTCTTGGGTCCCTGCAGGCTTCATGCAGTCACAGGAGACAGCTAACCCATGTTGGAAGCCAGCAAGGCAGGAAAGGTGGGGCAGAAAGATGGAGGGCACATTGTGCCTTGACGACATGGTTGAGCCAGAAGTTAACTAAAACCACTCTGCCTCCTCATTCTATGAGATGATATCTTTTCCTTAAAGTTAAGAATATTAAATTAGGGTTTTCTGCTATTTGCACCCAGAAGTATCGTAACTGTTTCAGCTTCTGCCCATGAAGGAATAATTCCTACAGAACTTGTCCTTCCACTGTAAACAACTAGATAAAATTTATGAAATTACTAGTTTTAGACATCAGGCAAAAGGAAGTGAAGGATG